CCCCCCCCCCCCCCCACACACATCTACAGGCACCCTTTATGCTGGAGACAGGGTGAAAATCAAAGACGGCCTAGGTACAACTCAAGTACTGAATAAATACTCCACCTCATTCTTCAGTAAGAATGAAGTTGTAATTGAGAACAGTGGCAGGGTTCCAAAAGAAGTGAGGACATCTCAGGTGCAAGCAAAACTTACATTGTTTTGTCATAAAATCAGAGGTCTAGATAATCTTTCCAAAATACCAAAAGAACTGGCACATGAAATAGCAATTCCTTTAACACAGATCATCACTAAATCTGTCCATTGAGGGATAGTGCTCTATGACTGGAGAATAGCAAATGTAGTGCCTATTTTTCAAATCAATTTTGAAAACTGGAAATTGAATGACCCTGGTAGTTACAAGCCAGTAAGTTTGACTTCAATATTATGCAAGATCTTGGAACAGATATGGAAGGAAAGAGTAGTCAAGGAGTGAACACAATATGGTTGCATCCACAAAAGGTCATGTCAGACCAATCTAATACCCATTTATGACAAGAAAATTGACTTCCTAGGTAAAGGCATTTCAGTGGACCTAATGTATATAGATTTCAGCCAAGTTTCTGACACCAAGCCTCATGGGGAATTATTAGGCAAGATGGAGAGGATGGAGGTCAGTGCTATAATTGTGAGGTAGATAAGGAGTTAGATAGATGGTAGACCAGCAAGTTATGTTGAAAGGTAAGTTATCAGATTGGAGAGCAGGTACTCATGTTATTCTTGCGTGATCTGTCTTGGGATACCTCCTGTTTAATATTTTTGTTAATGACTTTGCTGCAGGAACTAGATGTACACTTGTAAAATTTGTGGATGATACTAAGCTGGGGTATATTGTCCATATGGAGGAGGACAAGATTATTATATAGGAAAATTTAGATAACTTTATGGAGTGAGCATTAGAAACAGCATGAAGGGCAGAGTCAGATATCAAGGCTCTGGAATGGACTCCCAAGGGAGGTGGTGCTCTCTC